TTTATATTTTAGTGTAACTTATTTTCACTATTAAAAAATAACTAAATGTAGCTAACTAAGTAAAGTAAGGCTAACATTAATGATATTAGCCAACTTCATTAACCGACTTCACAAAAGAAGGAGGTTTTCAGTTTGTATATATGTTTGTGCGCGATATGTTGCGATTGCAGAAAAGTATTTGTTACAGTAAAGAGAAGGTTTAAGAATACTAATTAACCGACTAAAAAAAAGTTTATGAAAGAACTATTCAAGAAAACATATTCTAAACATCATAAATAATAATTGATAGTACCTATTATTATTTTTATCATAGGTAAAGCAGTTTGATCAATAGTAATTATTAAATAATAGGTCATAAATCTGAACTGAATCGCGTAGACGTTACCAGGGGAGCAGCAATCTGAGGCGATGTTCATTAGATCGTTCTCGATTGTTGACGACACCCGCCGCATCGTGTCGCACGTGCCAAGAAATTTAATATCAATCGCGCTACTTCCACGTTTAGGTAATAGATTCGCTTATTTCGGTTTTCCTTATGATATTCGGTACACCTTTATTATAAAATCGACTGTAATTGAAACATATAAATATCAACAAAACATAATATACGTCATCTGTAGTGGACTCGAGCCTTTGTGCCCGGGCCGTATGCTTTGTATGAGCTCCGGCCTTTTGCGCTGCGACGCATCGTAGACTTTTCGTGTGTACCTGTATTCTTGTCGTGTGTCGTGGCATTATAATGTTTGTTTGTTTTTTTCTTTCTTTCTGCGTCTAATTCTTTTTTATTCAGCATTATGGTTCTACAGTCCGTCCCATCCATTTTAAAGTTATGGTTTATTCAAATACAAAGAGAGAATTAGGCGTTTTGCAAGTTTCATTATTAGTAGGATATTTTTTGTCGTCATTTCCTCCACTTCACTACTGGACATAGGTACTCCATCTTTTTGTTTTATCTTTACAAGCAAAATAATTCTTTTGTTCGTTGATTTGCCAACGAATGGAAAAGAAGAATAGCCTTCCATTTACAGTTACAAAAGAACTTTTTACTGCGGTTCAACTTTATACGGATACTCAAGTTTCAACAGTTATTGCACTTCATACCAGATGCAGAATATCTTGAACTTTAATTTCTTAACCGACGGACGAGCCATTTAGCTGTGGATTCCATTACCTTCTCGAATTTTTCTCGAGAGCAATCAGTCTTTTTGTTTTCTTTCTCTCGATGCTGGAGCTCAGTGATGTGCTTCGGAAACTTAAACTGTGCCTGATATTATGACAACAGTCTAGTCCCTATTATATGTACGGAATTTATAATATAACTTGTAAAATTTTAGCGTTAAATTGAAATGTACAAACCTGAGGGTATACTCTTGAATCCAATTCCCATCGATCGACATTGGTATTGTGTACTCTTAAGTTGCAACACTAGCGCCCATTGCATCCGCATTGCATGGATACTTAATGAACTAAATGATATTATTGAGTTAGTCTTTAAATTCCGTACTCTGAATGCTATTTTAACAACTACGATAGGCGATGTATAGTTTTGACATTCAATAATTACTGAGATTTTGTTGGATTAAAATTGCATAAACTTTGAGATTGGTTTCAAGAGTAAGCACCCAGTTTTTCCTCTTCAGGAACTAAAAACAATCGACTAACAAGCAAATGTAAACATGGTAACGCTTGCTTCAGCATTTTAAGCTCGCGGGCCTTTATTTGGGCAGCCCTGCACTAAAACATGCCCGAAAGAAATGAAAATGTTTAGACTCGTGAATAAATAAACATAATTATAATTTATGCAAATAAATTAACTAAACACCAAATTAAATTTTGATTAATTCATTTAGTATCCGTGTATATTTAATTAAAATATATATATTTGAATAATTCATTTAGTAACTGTGTTAATACATGTATTGGGAATTGTGTTTCTCTAGTTTCACCCCCGTGGTTTGGTCCGCGTAGATTTTAAAATAGTTATCTCAAGTAACGATACGATCCTATAGATTGGAATAGATGTGCTGTAATAGAAAGTAACCTTTATTACTCAGTTAAAGTAAACTTTTCAATAGTTTAATCCAGTCAATACCAACAAACATAACATAATAACACGCCTTTTATCCCCGAAGGGTTAGGCAGAGGTGCACATTTCGGCACTTAATGCCACTGTACAATGAAACTTCCACTTTTTATTATTTATGTTATGAGTTCCATGTAATAGGGGGTGACCCTATTGCCATATACCGGGCACAATTTTAAACTCCGTGCTACTACTGAGATTTTTTTAAAAACCCCAGTAATACTTTGCCGAACCCGGGAATCGAACCCCGACCCCTTGCCCGGTAATCGCACTTGCGACCACTTAGACAACGAGGCAGTTAATACCAATGTATCAACAAACTAATAACTAAATCTCATAAATTATTATACCTCTACATAGGTATCGAATAAATACTCAATCATTAACTCGTCGAGTACCGGTTTTGTAGACACAATTATAGAACAATAGGTTGCGGTCACCGGTGACCGCTTGGTGTTTGACAGTTTAAAATACTACAACAATAGTATGAAAGCGAAGCTAAATAGGAATTCAATAATTATACACGGCCAATAATAATATTGCAAGCACTTAACTATTTAGGATAGTACTCAGTACCTATAGTACTTGTTTAGTATATACCATTTGACAGTTCATTAATTAAGCCTAATTACCATAACTAGTGCATTGTGTTCGATAGCAGATCCAACTGTCTGTTATAATTAATTATTCAAGTACACATATGTTTCCAAAATATTGGTTGTAAAGCTAACGGCTTTGGTTTAGCAATTATCGTTGATTTATTGTTGGATTTCTGTAACATAGGGTTGCATTTTGCTGAGCATATATGTGTGTAATATTAATGCATATTTATCAATACAATTACATTTTAACACACAACTTTGAAATAAAGAGTAAGTTTTATGTTTATTAGGAGTTCCAGTTAAACAGAATCTAAAAACTTAACAGGTCGAACAGCCCATTGCTAAACCTTTTTATGTGTACTTTATAAAGTAAGTATTTTAATTCAAATCGTAATTTTGAACTTTCGAACAAATTCTAAATAAATTCTGCAATGCCTAGATACCTATACAATAAGTTTTAAGGTACTAAGGTAGACTATATTAGTTAGTTATCACAAAACCACTGAAGCAGAAACGTCCAACAGAATCAGATAAATATCGAAAAGTAATGTTAGGTGAAAATTACGAAAGATATCATAAAAAAAAATATAAATCGATAACTACGCAAAATCGTAGAATGGGGAGTGATTTGGATAATCCTCATCATAAAGTATCTAAATTTTACGCTTAAACGCCAACTCCTCGGCCACCCGAGGGTTTGCCATAATCACTTCGCATGCAGGTTGGTGATCACTCTTTAACACTAGAAAGGCCGCCGTCCCAATTTTGTCCCATTTGCAAGTTTGATAATTCATATCTTTTTTATTTTTTAAGGTTAGGTGCGTGAAACTTTTTGACTTTTATTTATTGTATTTTAATAATTATTATTGTTGCCAGTTAGAAAAAAATATTATTTAAAAAATAAAATAACAATTTACCTAGAACTGCCGCTGGGTCATTTCGATTCTCGGCCTTTCTAGTGTTAAAAGGTCCATAGGTTAATCAGTTGCTGCCCCGGTGTCTGTCACATACCTACATGACTATATTTCAGGAAAATATAAGTCAAAATCTACAACAACAATGATATCGAACACAAAATATTTGAATTACGCGTTACAAAAGTTCTGTAGGCGCCATTTCTTAATTAGTAGGCGATGCAAATGCACTTGAAGACAATGGAACGGATCCACCAGTGACTACTTTTAATTTTATCGAACCCTCAAAGTATAAGTTTAATAAAAATATCCTTTTACTGCAAAATCCTCCTATTTTAAATATTGGTATTGTCCAACTAGTCAAATTCAATGCATTTTTCGAACTGTCAAAAACTGTTTTCTATGAATTTTGTACGAGATTGTATATTGTGACGTCACGTTTTTTAAAGTCAAACACCATTCTTATTTCTTAAAAAAAAAAACGGGAAAAATTCATAAAATTAATCAATGAAAATGTGATTATTTTTCAATATTTCATTGAATTAGACAATCGAAATATTTTTTTTTGATTAAGGCATGTATCCAATTCATAATATATTTGTACCTATCAGGAAATATTTATCAAGAATTAAAAAAGAAAACACACTTGGCTCCGCCTTTGCTGCCAAGTGTAATATTAGACATCTGCCTATACGCTCGGGAACTGCAAAACATGAAGTTGTGGTATGTGTTTTTCCATACCATTTGACATAGCCATTTTGCGGCAAATTTTGGGGAACAAATCATGCACATAATTATGTTTCGGATTCTATTTGTCATCTGTGTTTGTTTACGTCATATAATCAAGTTGTCTATGTGTATGTATGTAGGCACATACAAAACGTACCCATATTTATGTACATCTTATATGCCTGTATGTGTATCTGTGTATATCAAAGATGCTTTTAAAATACTAAAGTAATTCAATACTGGTGTCTTGAATTAACTATAATGGTTTCGGCTTACTCACGTTCCTGTTTGACGAGAGTAACATCGCGACAGTCGCCGCGTCTTGGGTCGCGGAATGCTGCTAATGAATATGAGCCTCTAGGATGGCTTGAAACTAGTCGAGATCCTTGTCTAACAGTTACGGGAGTAAGCCGAAAACATAATAATTAATTTAGTATGTGTCACGAAATTTATAATATAAACAATGGTATACTGCTACCATGGTCCCATTACTACATTAACACGTTAACCGTCACGTAGGTCACCGGTGACCTAAGTTAGCGGAGGATTTGCCTTCAACAGTTTTCTATCGGCAGTCAAAGGCTTAATTCCTTTTACTGAAAATAGGTAGGTTCATAAGTAAATAAATAAACAGATATTTTTATATAATACTTTATTTCATAATTCATCGACACAAACATTGGACATAAGGAATCTTACAATTGCTCCATTTTATTTTGTTTAATCTCTCTTTAGCAAATACTGTTCTTAAATAGACTTAGGTATAACTTTCATAGCTTTTGTATTCATAAATAAACCTTACAAATATGTACATTATTTGATACTAGGAATTGTAAATGTAACAGAATTACTTCAAGTAAGAGAAACACTACAATCCACTTCATCTTACGTAATCTTTTCTGTCAAAAATAATCTTCTTATTATCCTACACCGAGGCGTTTTAGGTTCTATTACAAAAATAAATATCTTGTATAGACTTACGAACAAAGAGCTATGAAGATGGATGCTAATAACAGAAAAAGTAATTCAGCAATATTATTTGGTATATTTATATTCGCAATACAATTCTTTGGTATACTACTATTTACAATCTTCAAACGTCAACTGAAATACATTTTCAGGCTGAATCTGACACAACAACGACACATTAGCGAAACATTCAATAAACTCTTAAAGTACTTCGTGGTAAACCAATTATCGCCGTTAACATTAAACCTCAGTTTTTGAAAGGCGAATCGAAACTTTTCTCAAATCTTTATAACTTGCGTTTTCAATAATGATTGGTTGTCTAAAATACCTATAGATATATATAGCTGGCAATAAAAAAAAATTAGGTTTTTGGAATATAACATGTGTGCCCATTGTGGGCATCAGACCTTTAATCCTCTTAGCGCCTTGATAAACAAAAAATACAATATCTGCTTTTCTGCCTTTCGTTTTAGTATTAAAACAAAAGAGTCATGTAATCTAAATGAATAACTGCAATTTCTATGGACAAATTATTTTAAAATTGACTAAGTTTTAAGATCCTGTACTGGAATGAGCCATTCAAAACCGAGGTTTATTTAGGTACCCTGCACACACTACGTACTTATGCTTTTTTTGCTCTCATAATACATGCGTGCAATACTCTGACGATACGATTACTATGCGTACAGCGCGCGCTCTTCTTGCTATCGTAGTACGCGCGTACTACAAGAGGTACTCTTCGTATATGAACAGGGTCACACTCTTTACTCTTTAACACTGAACATACGGACTAAAGCACTGTCACATTTCACAGTTCACTATAGAAAATGTTCTCTCACCACTGGGGCGTGCCCGTGTTTCACGCGTCCTCACGGCACAGACGTCTTTGCACTGTAACAAATACATTAATTATATTAAAAAGTGTTGCGTAGTAGAAACAACTATATTAGTGAAGTAATAAAACGTATTTTTGTTTAGATGTTGTGTCTACTTTAACCTAATAAGAGCTTTAATTTGTTCTATTTTATTTTCATTTCCATGAATTTGATTGCACTTTTAAATTAGCACATTAACATGTCTGTTATATAACTTCATGTTAGATATCTTCATTCATAATATTAGTTAAATTAATTTAACATTTTTGGTATGATTTTTACCAATGTTACTCTAGTAGAATCAATCAAACGGGCAAAGTGAGAACCATTCAATGTTCAAAAAAGCGAAGAACCCATGGAAATGAACAGAACCACAAAGCAAATTCTAGCGAGAAATGTAAATACCTATCCAATACCTGCTAGGACCTAAAATTGGGGTTTAGATACTTATACACGCTACGCACAAAGTCTATTTTTCCATAAAATTCAAATTTCCATTTCAAAATGTTTAAAACTGTGCTTTGAACTAAAGGGTTACAGATCCATTTCGTGCAAACGGAATTTTGACACTATTACCATTTTAAGTGTGAGATTATCGTTCTATATTATGATTTTAACATTCAAATGTGTAAATTCAAACATTCAAATGTGTAAATACATCAAAGGATACTATGACGCCTCTTTCCAAATTTCACGATTTTCTTCGTAGACACGTAGTCTTCATTTGCCAAATGGAATATATTTTACAAAAAGATTTTCTTGTTAGGCGTGTTTGACAAAGTGAACCTGGCCTGAATTTAACACTGTCTTAAATTAGAGACTTCAAAGTTTTCCCAATTTCAACGACAAGTTTCCAAACGTTTTACAACCTAATTGCTCAAATACTTCCAAAATTAGAGAAAGATTTCTCTATTCATTCTAAACTTAAAACTTTTTTATTCATTAAATTGCTAGCCTTTCGAATTTAGAACAATCGTCACAGCTCTTTTCTTCAAAGCGTAAAATCCAATCACCAAATTGCATTCTTATTATGTCAACGAGTACGATCGGGGGCACACACAGCCACACAATAAAAACTTTTTAATTTAACATTTTTAACTTTACGTAGGAAGGGTCCGCTGCAATTAGGTCAGATTTACAGCAAGAATATAGTACTATTACTATGCAAAACAGTAGTAACTTTCTTTATTGGAATCCTCTACTAAAATGTCTCTAGATTCATACCATTTACAGCCCTTTTTAGAACACCTAGTCGTAATTGTGTTATTGACCCACTAAAACATTTTTAAGTTATTAAAAAATACCTAGCACTTTTTCTAACGTTGTGATTTTATGGTAATCGTGGCCAACAATTTGCTTAAATTGCCCAAAACCAAATAAAGACGAAAAAAAGGGAACATGTGAATGAAATGGGCTGTGAGAACAATTGCTGTGAATTGCGCGACAGCCGAATACTTTCCACAGTTTTCATAGGTACGTGCGACCTCTTTTATATTTTTGCTATAGGTATTTTGACAAACCTGGCTGCAAATAAACTGTTATGTTTTTTCCTTATTTACTTTTTTCATAATATTAGAGTAGTGCTGGCATCTCGTCATTCAAAGAAACAAAAGAGAATCGTTGAGTGAAACATTAGAAAATATTCTTTGTTATATATCTTACAATGTTTATACAGATGTCCGTTCTTGCAATAATATAGAAATTAAAGCAAATGTAAGTAAAGGAAGTTATTATATCATACATCATGCAACTGAGAGTCAAATGTATACATGCATGTTCCTTAGAGGTAAACAATGTTATTGCAGTTTGAGGAACACGTCTTATATGCAAATTCAGTTATAAATGCAAAAGCAGTCGTTACTCACATATCCATATTTATATTGAAGCTCGGCTGTAGTTACCTTTTTATCTTTTCTGTGCACCTGCAGGGAGGAAACAATTTCATGACTCATGGACATAGTTTTCAAATTGTTTCACAAAACATGCAGTTAGCGAGAAACGTAGTTAGTAGACAAATAAACGAAAACAACAAAATGCACGATCGAAAGTTATCGTCAAGGGACTTACGTGTTTTGGTTGTGAGAGTCGGAATGTGACGCTGTGGGTGGCAGGAACCTCGCGAGATGTGGCTGCAACAGCAACTGCCTAAACGTCTGCCGAAACTGCCGCGACATTGAGCAGTACAACACGAAGTTTATAGCTCCATTCAACAGCGCCAAAAAGTCCATCAGCTCCCCAAACAGATCGTAGCATCGCTTGAAGAAGCACCACCCGAGGAGACCACTCATCAATCCCATGATTCCTTGAGGCAGTTCCGTCACGAGGAACAGCAGTAGCACGGCTAATAACATCTTCGTTGTTCTATCAGTTCTTTTGTCTGCTTTGTTCTGCCTCTTTACCATTTTCTCAGCAGCTGGACAGGTGTTATAGTTCCTCAGTTTCTTCTGGTGCTGGTTCGCATTGTAGAGCGCTCGTATAAGCCAGATACTGATCACTGTGAGTATGGAACAGGGCAGCAGTTTGATGACGACACCATGCACCCAGAAATTGGCTTGATACAGTGTCCCTTGGTAATCTGAGTCCACATGGTACGCAATGTCTGGGTTGCCAAATTTGTCTGTCACGTTTTTCGTGTGTATATCGAAAACCTGTTAAAAAACGTATTTAAGTTAATATTTTGTGATGCACATCGTTATTCATGTCTATTATTAACATCGTCATAGTATAAATATGTATATTTATGCCTTCTTTAATATTAGTTAATTCTAACTAAAGTGTTATGATGACAGTTCTATTTGAAAGAAATTCTCCTTTACAAAATTAGCATCCTATATCGCGCCGTAATTAGTATAAGCCATATAAATGTTATCTCGTGTAGAATAATGGATATGAAGTTTCATAAATAAATTATTTAAACAAGGCGTCCGAATAATGTCCATAGGAACGTGACCATTTGATTGACAACAGTGCCACGTCGGATCGCATGCTAATACATCGAACAATGAACGGCCAGTAATAATGGACATTGTATGGAAAATAGTGAATGTTTGCAGAGGATTTTATATCGCTTTGAATTCGATATTGCTCGCAAAATATAATAAATAAAGCGTTGAAATATTGTATTTGATATGAATAATAATATCATTTTTTATGTCTTCCATTCACTGAATTCTCTCAGAAGGCCTTTGAGTCTTTTAGAAGTCAGACCATAAATCAACTCATATTGGCGTTTTAGAAATCTTTTCTGGGGATACTAATTGATTCAAGGTTGATCTGGTTTGAAAATGACCAAGTCATAGTCGTCAATGATCAGCTTCGATCAACAATAACAACTAGATATCGGGTCGGCGCAAGAAAATCGTCTCGACAAATAAGAGCTCACTTGAGAAGTGAGCTCTTATTTTGTTTAGTATGCTCCAAACACGGCCAACGTACTCACGTCTCACGAGTAATTGCAAGTTGCAAAAATAACAACCGAAAAAGCAGTATAACGGCCGGAGTGTCTTACTTTTGATAAGTACATAAAGTATAAGTTATATTTTAAGCTTTTAAACTAGTAAATAATATTAAATTAGACAAAATTATCAATTATAAACCAACGCCACCAATGTTTGTGCGTGTGTTGGCGATTCCTTGGCCAAGTCTCGCCAACATTTGTATAAACAGAACAGTGGATGCATGGAGTCGATTTGTATTGAAAAAATAAGAAATTGTATCGTTTCTTGCTCGTTCTTCTCCATAGGAATCTACACCTTGGAATGAGCAAATAGCTTCACTTTTAAATTTATATTGTTGTTGTTCAAAAGTGCCTTCCTGGTATAACTGAAATAAATAATTTTGACTTAGACTTAGACTTTTAACGATAAAGTAAATAAACATATCATACACAAAAACGTACCGCTAATAAAAATTAGTGATGTATACTAAGATCCCGAAATGTTAATTTTCATATTATAAAATTATTTTAGTGTCCAACGCGACTCCATACATACCTCCTGTAGCGAAATTCGAAATTTGAAGAAGCAAAACGAAACAAAACAAAACGATATAGATCGCAAGACAATAATGGAAAAATTATCTTTATTTGTTCGACCTTAAGGTTGAATTCAAACTAGATATTGTATAACTTATGTCTTTTAATTTCTACATGACAGGAGTAAGAAAATACTTTTCTTGTCTTATATGACGAATGGTCGTAAGTATTAGATAATATTTTGACGATTTATGACTTTATTATTAGGTGCCATGGTTGTTATTAGGTTGAACTTAAAACTATTTTAAAACATTTTTCTCTGTTTGTTATTTTTTTACTATTATTATTCACACGGACAGAACTGGAGCTTGATTTTGTACGTAACCCTTTATCTAGTTGTTATTGTTGATCGAAGATGATCAGTAATAAATCATGATAAAGAAGTTATGAAAGGACATAATACAAAAAACTATAATTATTGTATAAAAAGCATGCAGTTGGAATGGCTTACCATGAAAGTAGGTGCGCACAATATAGGAGGCAATATGAAACTCGTTAAGATTGCGATGCTACACCTCCTCTCCGTGCACAATATGTGACTTTTGTCTGAGTACCTGCAATAGATAACAATTAAATGATGTTTAAAGTTTACTTAATAATAATAATAATAATAATTCATTTAATGTCAGACACAGTCCATACAGCCAGAATAATAATAATTAATGAAGAAAATAACTAACAACAAAGCAATAAAATTTAAATTAAGGAATACAATAAAATATAAAAGTCACACTATTAATAAAACATAAAACTCAACAATGTCAAAACTAACAATAATTATAATCAAAACCATAAACTTAATAAGTGGGTTCTAAATCTAATTTATGAGAAGGAATTTTAAACCATAATAAAATATTTATTGAAGATTGTATGTAAAAGCAAATATATAAATCATCGTATGAATGGTCATCATCGGCAAAAAGAATTGTATAAAATCGCTCAAACAACAAAACTAAGGCATATTGCTAGTTAATTATAAAGTAATACGAAGGATAAAAATAAGAACAAATATCATTAATTTACTGTTTCAACAAGAATTGGTTCCCAAGAGACAACATGACCGTTCTCCGACGTCGACAGAAAATTAATTGGTTTTCAACAAATACTTAGGTCGAAGTTCCTAAATGTAGGATTATTTGATAAGATGATTAATACCGATTTCCACCAACCTCTCCTAAATTTTAAGTAACCCCTAAGCCAAGATAGGTGACATTCAACAATATTTAGACTCATCATTCTATATGTGACACCTAATTAACAGTACAAGTAAGGGGTTACCTCAACTATTTTCTACACCTCTGTATATAACTATACAGTAAAATAGTTGATAATAATTATATGGTCACTAACCCAAGTGTTTTGTCCTTTCAGCTAGAAACAACTAAAAACTACCACAAAGTTAATTTTGACGGTTCATTAAACTGCCGTCCCGCTCGACACTGGCAAGACTGGACTGTGTATTGTGACGTCACGTTTTTTAGCGTCAAACAGCATACTTATTTCGTAAATATTTGCTTGAAAAATACTAAAATTAAGTTAAACATAAAATAATTTAATGAAAGTGTGATTATTTTTTAATATTTCATTGTATTGAACAGTCGTAATAATTTATTTTTGATTAAGGAAAGTAGCCAATTGACAAAGTTGGCGGTAGACAATCATTAGGTGTCGCGGAGAACCTAACGGGTAACCGGGGCTCCGACTCGACGTCCAGGAGAAGGAACGGGATGGTTTTTAGTCAGTAAGAGTCTGACACTCCCTTCCGCCTCACCCTAACGGGAGCAGTCGTTCGATGATTTTCCCCCCTTAAAAAAAAAACCCGCACCCTCATGCATGAGAAGCGGCATCTTAAACTTCCGGGCCACCACTACATTTTTAATAATGGACATGGCGGACATAATGCCACTTACAAATGATTAAAGCCCAAAAATGACACAGTTGCATGTGTGCGTGTGTATTGGGTTACCACGTTACCAGACTTAAGAAAATGAGAGATGTCCTTCGTGTCAATGTGTATGTTCTGTGTGTAACTCTATAGTAGCTAGGTGTTCCAAGGGACTGTGTTCGCCTTTTGAATTTACTTGAGTTTTTTTTTTAAACTTGCCCCACACTAGGATTTTCTCCTGTGTCGTGGGTGCGTTTACAAACATACAATTTCACATACACATAACGCCCAGACCCGAAACAAAAATTTGTGGATCACACAAAGTGTTGTTCCGTGCGGGAATCGAACCCGCGGCACGCTGCACGGTTGGTGCGGTGGCTGGGCAACCGGCTAGCCGGCCGACCGTCGATTTGAGTCGAATCGAGTTTATTTCCATCATCATCATCATCAACAGCCTATAAATGCCCACTGCTGAGCAAAGCCTCTTCTTACACGGAGAAGGTTAGAGCATTAATCACCACGCTTGCTCAATGCGGGTTGGCGATTTCAAACTTATAATTAGAAATTATAAGTTCAGGTTCCCTCACGATGTTTTTCCTTCACCGTTTGTCAGTGGTGTCTAAATAATCTTAGAAAGTACATATAACTCGGAAAAAGTCACATTGGTACTTGCCGTTGGTAGGTTTCGAACCCGCACCCTCATGCATGAGAAGTGGGCGTCTTAAACCTCCGGGCCACCACGACACCACAATTATTTCCATAAATCGCGTAAAAGGTTACGTTACTCCTGTGCTAATAGTTATTTCGCGGTGGTTGCGTATAGGTAAGTACTTACTTATGAGTGGATACACGTGTCTGATAAATCAATACTTAGGTATGTGCTGATATAATAGAGCTGTTTGTTTTCATTTCATCGCCGTTTTTTAATTAGGTTTTATAAAACATTTTTATATCTGATATCTGATTGCTCTATTCTTGAAGCTATATTAAACTCAAGAGTACCTAAGACTGCTTCGTTGGCCGAGTGGTCGCATGTGCGACTGCCAGGCAAAGGGCTCCCGGGTTCAATTCCCGATTCGGGAATTAAAAAAAAAATCAGTGGCACGGAGCCTGGAATTGTGCCCGATCTATGGCAATAAGCTCACCCCCTATTACATGGGATTCATAATATAAATAGTGAAAATTGGGTATTACATTGTAGTGGCATTAAGTGCCGTAATGTGCACCTCTGACACCTTCCGGAGATGAAAGGCGTGATGTTATGTTATGAGTTGAATAACAAATGAGATCGATAAACTTAATCAAACTTTACTCGACCCGGGAATTAAATCCTCACACAGCGATCACTATCCTAAACTCCTTCCTGTAACTACAAAAGTTTGTGAGGATGTGTGTATTTTACTATTTAACAAAGAACTACTAAATAGATTAAGATATAATTTTGGTACCTACAGAGTATAGTCTGGAACAACACGTGGGATAATGAAGTCGTTGGCAGAAACTAGTGGCCTATAGTAAGTATAGGCAAAGAGAGTTTATCTCAAACGGATTGAAAATATCCTCCGTGGGTAATGAAGCGGGTATTATGTTTGAGCCAATGGACCATCGGGCTGTTAGTCCTACATTCTAGTTCGTTCGACTGTATCAAAGTGTCATTTCACTTGTGAACTTTTGACTTCTCTAAGGGCATTGTAATCCGTTCATAGAACGGTTTAAAACATAATACATATATAATATTTTAAATAGGTATACGTAGTGAGAGTTTCAGGTATGTTTTCTGTATTAGGTGGGTAGGTATTGTTGTGTTTAAAAGAGTAACCAATGGAGTTTCTTGCTCGTTCTTCTCCACTAGAATCTACATTCTGGAACGATCGCCTAGCTTCACTGACAGATAGACTGACAGACTATTATTTATTTTATATTTGTTGACGTTTGAAAAGTACTAAATTATAGGTTCTAGGTAGACACTTAATACGGAGGTGCAGTAACATGCGATGCTCCGTGGGGGTTACGGGGGCTGGTCTACTAATAATACAATAAATTGTGTTGTATGAGTAATTACATGGTACCTACTGCTCACAGTTCTTAATAGCCAATCTATGTTTTTCGGTGATATATTATGTATGAATTATAATAGAGTAACAGTTTACAAAATGACATCACTTCTAGCGTCATTTTAGAACAGTGGCAGCGCACTGATTTGTGCAAAATGTCCCTGAAGTCAATCGCACAAATGGCAGGGTCGGTAAAATGTCCTACGATGCGGCACGATATAATGAGCTCCACATTTAGTGCAGTTGCTCGAGAGCAATATCCCCCCACACCACCATCTAAACCCCCCCACCCCTCAACAGCTCTTGTTAAAATATGAAATATGAAGACTTTATGAAGTACAACTAGAACATTTTTCAAGGTTCCAAATTAGTTAACAAGTTCTTCAAGTTACTTGTTACATGAAAAGTAGTTAAATTGAATGTTTAGTTAGAAAAGAGGTTTATTATTACCAATTACAGTATTATTGGCCCTATGTACTAAACTCTCATAATTAGTTTTTGGCAATAATAAATAATTATATTGCTATGAACTAATAATGGCTGGTGAAAAGCGCATATCGATGCTTACCTTATAAATATTTCAAAATTAACCCTTGAAACATAAACATACTTACTTTATAGCCAAATATCTCCATATAGCGAGTGACAGGGTGAGGCATATAGACGCGGTGTGTAGTATCTGAGCGAAGTGCATATGAAACAGCAGGTACATCGCCCACGAGTACGGAAAATCCAATTTTTCCGGCAGGACCTGCCAAATAAAAGTCAATTATAGTTCAAAAAAGTCGGGAATAAAATTGTGTTATTTGATTTCTGTTTCTATAGGTGTTCCCGAAGTGCGTGGCATGTGTACCTACCTATGTAAAAAATGGAACATTTTTTAATTTTATTTTAATCAGTTAAAAAAATTAAAACAGATATCTATTTTAACACGACGATCGAACACAAGTTGTGCTTAAGCGGGATGACAGACTAATTTATGTGTATGATGTACAATCTGCTATTAAAAGTGCTAATAGTACGAGAAATCGTTACGCTTTTAAAAATATTAATAATTGCCCCAACTCATTTTAAAGATAAAATAAAAACAAAAAATAATAATCGCCGTCCGCTTCAAAATTATTGGACCGAAGACATCAATTGCCGCCTTTGTCAATATATTTCAGTGACGGGTACATAATGGTTTTGGTTCATAGTCGAAAACCACTCTTGTCAGTTTTATTGAAAAATAAATAGGTCAACGGATTTCCCTCATTTTATCCTCGTTTCAACCCAAATAAACTGGGCGAAGTGGGAAAATAATATAAATTGGGTCTAAACGATCCAATTTGTCACTTTCTTAACACATCATTATATTTTAGAAAGATATGGAAACTATTTACTGAATGATTTCTACCTCTATAATGTACTGTAAAGTTTTTTTAAAATGTAGGGTAATATTTATTTAGTAGGTATACATAAGTATTCGTTTATTAGTATAAATTATATAGTATGTTTGCTATATAGTCATTAGCATTACCTCAAACTACAAAAAATAACTACACTTAATATTATATAACGAGAAAACATTTGATTGTTTGCGTTGAATTGGCTTCGATTCTACTGAACCGATTTCAATAATTATTTTACCATTAAAAAGTTTACTTTTCATCTCAGTGGTCCTGTAAGATTAGCACCTAATCGAGAAATATCTCCTATATACCATGCTGGCCGAAGCCACAATAGAATACTAGTCATCAATAAAATATAATATCTGGTTCCAACAATGGTGGCAGCTGCAACGTTAGTACTCTTAAATCAACATGCACAATGGAAAATAGCTTGCATTCATAGATCAAGCCATTTTCCATTGTGGGAGAGCCATGCTTCGGCACGAATGGGCCGGCTCGACCGGAGTGATACCACGGCATTACAGAAAACTGACGTGAAATAACGCTTGCGGTGTGTTTCGTCGTGTGAGTGAGGTTACCGAGAGACCCAATTACCCCCAAATCCCCCCAATCCGTGAATCCCAAACAATCCTTTTTGTAATCCCCAAAAAGCCGGTAACGAACTTGTAACGCCTCTGGTGTTCTAGATATCCATGGGCGACGCAGATTGCAGATTACTTACCATCAGGTGATCCGAATATTCGGTTACAGGCTTATCCCATAAAAAAATCAACCATTATACAACTAAATGCTTCTCTAACGACCGAGGGACGACCGCTAACCTGTGATTGTTTTCGCAAGAATTTCCTCTTTTAAACGAATACCTCTTATTGGCTTTCCATTTAAACTGTCAAACACCAAGCGGTCACCGGTGACCGCAACCTATTGTTCTATAATTGTGTCTACAAAACCGGTACTCGACGAGTTAAAGCTGTTTTTTAAAATACTTTTTATTAAAGTCAGCTTAATTCTTTTATACTTAATGTTGGTGTAATTGCATAGAGAATTCTAAGTAAACACAACTGGATTCACTATAAAATTATATTATTGAGTAGCCAGAATTTAGAAATCTGACTTACCAATTTCCAATTTTTGCCATACCTATTATTGGAAGCAAGTACAATAGCTTACACATAGGACCCATTTAGTTTTTAGTCAAATTTCCGTGGTGCTAGGCGACTGGGCTTCACCCAGATGTTCAGTCTCTCTTTGTGCTTTTAGGCTTAATTCATTCTGTCTCCTGCAGCAATTCACCGAGGGAAGTGGAAACTATCGTTTTTTTTCTTCCCCTCTTATAATTATCTTCTGATTCACTTCGTTGCAGGTCCAAGACAGTTATTCATGTCCCTTCTTCAGTGTTCCGTTGTTTTTATGGTTGTATCTACTATAGATCCTGGCTTTCAGGAGTTGCAGCGGTAATGGGGGGTTATTGGCAGGCTTGTCCCAAATTAACCAATTTCGAAATTTTAAAAATCAATCCTTCTCGCAAGACTCAGTCTCAGAATCAGAGCGAGAAATATAATTAAGTTGACAGAGTCAGTTTAGTTATAAAATGTTAATTTACTATCTGTTTAACTTCATCAAATATTGGTCAGAACTTAGACGATATTTTAGTACTGACCCAAAGTAACTTAGGACACAAAAGAGTTTACATTTCGTCTTTAGTGAAATGAAAATCCTAGTTACCCTTATGCCTTGTTCGCACAACCCTAGTGTTTTAGTCGATTTAGTAGTTCACTCTCACTTCCAATTTGGGGCAGAAGCGAGACAGAAGTACTAAATATTCGCTACTCGACTAAAATACTAGCGATGAACAAGGCATTAGAGACAAACTCGCCTGATTCATTGCCTCGTTGGCCGAGTGGTCGCAAGTGTGACTGCCGAGCCGAGGGGTCTTGGGTTCGATTCCCGGGTCGGACAAGGCATTAATGTTTTTTTTATTTCTCTGTAGTAGCATCGGAATCAAGAATTGCGCCCGGTATATGATGGCAATAGGTTCACTCCCTATTACATGAGAGTCATAACATAAATAGTGAAAAGAGGGAGTTATATTGTACAGTGGCATTAAGTGCCGTAATGTGCACTTCTGACTAGCCCATCGGGTACAAAAGGCGTGATATTATGTTATGTGTAAAACACGTTTATATCGAAGTTCTATCTATTTTATGCACTAGTAAATATATTCTAGTAAACAGTACATACAACGTGTTCATCACGATATTTTAATTAAATAGATTACACAGATAAAGCAAACACGTGTTTCACGCAACATAACATAAATTATGATTGTATATAAATAGTAATTATTTATCTATGCGTTATCTGTTCTATTCATCATAAACTACTTCGTCTAAATCAATAATTTTCCGATAACTTTTATCTACGGCTCACAGGTGAAACTAGTTATTTCAGTATTCCACTTATACAGTCTATGTCAATACCATATGTTGAAGATCTGTCGGGTTATTTTCTGTAAAACAGAAGACTGCACAATACATACCTAGGTTTATTTTACAAACTACAATCAAGACCGGTGACGGTTCATTAATGCCGATACTAAGAAATTTCCGAAAGCTATGGCGTTGGTGAACCGAGTGTATAGAAGAAGCGCGGCGCTCGCACGGCCATGGATTTTATACCTCTTTCCCGCGTGTCGCCGCCTCCATGATCGATGGCCATAGTAATGCTTATTACTTCCCTATGGTTGACTGTAAGAGAATGCCTTAAGGCATTAAGTCCGCCATTCACTGTATTTTGTGAAGAAGTAATAAATAAATAAATAAATAATGCACCGACACTACTTAACATGTTTTGAAAATGAATAAAAATAAAAATTCTATAATCATAACACTCTATGAGATTACATCTAATGCTATTATTACGCCTTTGACTGTCGACAGAAACCTGCTGAAGGAAAATCCTCCGCTAACGTAGGTTACCGGTGACCTACGAGGCGGGTAACGTGTTAAAAAGAAATAAAACATCTATTTGATGAAGTACAAACATCTATTTGAGACCATACATCTATTATTTATCATTATTTAAAACAAATAAATCACATATTTCTTAAGATATAAGGCCAATAAATAAATAACTGTCTATAAAGAAATCGCCGGTAGGCTGAACGACTCTACAGAGACCAGAGGGCTGGCTATTTCTTCGGACAGAAAATAAGCATTGCCATTCAACGAGGCAACATTGCCATGCTTATTCTGGGAACGTTCCCCTGTGATAGTGATGCGGACTTTGAAGGGTATTTTTATTTTTTTAACTCTTTTCATTCATAGGTTTAGACCAATTACATTAAAAATAGATAAAAAAAATTTTAATGAAACACAAGACAGAAGATTTTGGATAAAATGCTGAAAATAATTTTCAAACATCAGACGCGCACTGGCATTCCAGGATACAACCCTACATACAATAAAACAATGAATGTAATAAGAACTTACGCTCAGTGAAGTGTGCTTGCAATCAATATTATCTGCTAACGAGGTTTCTACTAAGGAGACTATATGTATACTACCACTACTATCTACTAAGGAGAACTCGAAGTACACAGTGTATGTTAGAAACACCATTATAAATGGTGTCAAACTCGATTTTATTAATTTGAAATTATCGTTTAAATCGAGAATAACATCGGAAAATTCATTCATTCAAAACCATAATTTCGGACAATAAGATAATCATGCACGTAGTATTCGTGATTATGGACCCTCACTTAGTTTGAAACTAGTCGAGTTATTTCACAAAACAGTAACACGATAGAGCCACACAACATAATTAATATCACAATATTGAAACTGCCTCGTTGGCCGAGTGGTCGCAAGTGGGATTCCCGGGCCGGGCAAAGTATTCTGGGTTTTTAAAAAAATCTGAATAGTAGCACGGAGTCTGGAAATGTGCCCGGTATATGGCAATAGGTTCACCCCCTATTACACGGAACTCGTAACATAACTAGTGAAAAGTGGATGTCACATTGTACAGTGGCATAATGTACACTTCTGCCTACGCCTTCATGGATAAAAGGTGTGATGTTATGTTATGTTATTGAGACCTACACAATATGATGTGTACTAATAATAAAGTCGAAATAAAAATGATAACTATCTTTAATATAGCCTTCACAATTTTTAAAACTACTGCCCTGTCCGCTACAAACTTCAATGTGTAATTAAAGACTCTAAATTGAACTTCAAAAAAGATTGTCAAACAACTTCAAAAGCCTTTGCCTAGACGACAGTCAAGGGAGCTGGTACTAATATTAGTTGTTGAAAAAGTTGTTTTTTAAGTCAGGTTAATGGCTGACTGTCCTCTGATTTTATTTTTGACTAGCAGCCCGTCCCGGCTTCGCACGGAGTAGACAATTACTTATTTTTGGAAATTTGGATTGTTGTAGTGACATAACTACAATAGTTGGACATATGCTACCGCGAAGTTTTTTGTAGACATTATGATGTTCTTCAATATTGTTGTACATTATTTTGTTCTATCGCTAATAGTTTCGGCAGCGCATTCGGCGAACGACATTTTAAGACTCATTTTTCTACACCTTCGGTTACATTGTTCAAATTTTACCAACTATCCCTAATTTTTTTCAAAATGAAATGTTGCCTATGTTAAATTGGAAGAATGTAGCATTCTATTAGTGAAAGGGTTTTTTAAATCGACCCAGTACTTTTGAGCCTATTAATTACAAACATACAAAAATAGGTACAAATCTTTCCTCTTTATAATATTAGTATAGATTATATCGGTTGAGGTTAAAATATATGATTGAGTTTTGGAGTATTAAACGACAACGTTTACATAAAGATGATCAAATAAAAAATGTTATAATGTACCTTTATCTTATTCCAAAATGGATGACACATTTATTATGTTCTCAAACCTATAGTTAGTCTTGTAATGTTTGGCCACCTATGCATTTCACTATCAATCAGGAAAAGGCGATAATCCATAGCAAAAATTACCCTTTCTACCAAACCCGTATTTACAAAATATTCTAAAACTACTTACAACAATCGATTTATAATATTTACAGTAACAATTGACTTAGCATATCATGTATTATATCCCGAAGAGGTAGGCCGAGAACACGTGATGTCGTAACAACCGGTTGACACATTTCGCAGAGACCAGCAACAGTGCCTTTAGCCAAACGCCACTTTAGCGCTTGTCTATAGAGAGAAGTAGAAAACTAAATGTACTCCCATATAATTTGGTTTTCTATTCTACATGTAGATAAGCGCTAAGTGGCATTAAGCTATAGCTGCTGTACACACACTGCTTGAAAAGCCTGAAGCTTCTAAACTGCGACAACACTTTTAATTATGAGACAATCATGTTACTCTTATTCATTATGATTCAGAGCATAGATATCTAAATGCTAACTATTATGTATATTCGACTAATGACAAAACATTTATCTAATATTTCGAGAGGAACACAAACTCATTTTATTAGGTACCTACACGTGTGCCAAATATGTAGGTATTAAACAATAATATGCAAGAGTCTGAACTGTTTAGAAAAATACAATCTCTAATATTTATTGCAACATCTTTCTGAACCTAGATTTAGATGGCCCTAAAATTAGATTGAAATGAGTTAAAGGAAAATTCATTGATTAATTTCACTGAAACTTTTGTAAATTAGAATTTCAAATGGATTAAAGTTGGAAGGCTTACTTTTTGGACATACAAAAAACTCTTTGATTACTCTTTTATATCGTATTGGTTTTACATTTTATGTTTTTACTCGGAAAATATTATGTTCCTCCGTTTCATGGCTTTTGCAATTCCAATACTTTCGTGCGACTGAATAATATACCTCTAAAGCTCAAATATCAGAATAGACGAATCAATCAGTTCATAGAACCTGACCAGGACCTTAGTATTCGATTGTTACATAATGTGGGCCATAGATTCAGAGAATGGGTAATCTAATATTATCTTCTAGTTTTAATTACTACCTCTATATACGAAATAATAGTTAAGATCTACATAGGACCTTTAAACGTTGCATAGATAGCGTTGACAACCAAATAGGTACTCATACCCTCATAATCCTCAAATAAAACGTTGACAAAACCATTCAGAAAATGACAAAGTATTAGTTGGCTGTAAGATTTACCAAATCAAAGAAAATAATCATAAAATTAAATAATATAGGAAACAATTACTTACCAAATGTCTATAAATAACGAAGGGTACATATTCAATCATCACGAAGACGTCAGCCACAGCCAGCCATTTGAGGAGTCGGTTTATAGGAGCGGCAGCCATGTCTCTTCTTGTCAGCACAGCAATGTTCATTGTGTTGGCCAATACTCCTATAGTGCAAACCTGAAACAAATAAAAAAATAAAATAAAAATCCATCGTATACCTACAGTGCATTCGCGTTAAGAATGCAGAAAGTCATCATTGTCTGTCGGCCTAGTCCCGCCCCCTAAATTGATTTTAAACTTTTCAGTGTACTTTAGAAATACATTAAACTTATTCTTTTAAAATAATTTGTTTAAAACCTTTAACTTACAATTGCATTGATGACTCACAGCATTCTTAACGCGAACTACGTATCTACATAAGATTTTTTTTTCTGATCATAATATTTTTATCAGTAAGAAGGTCTCCACTACTGAAACATTTCAACATTCTTTGGGGTTCGTCGCAATCTACAAACTTGATAGGAGACTTATGTTTAAAGTTTAATATTTGTCCGAACTCAAACCGATTCAAAAAAAGCCTATGAAAAGAAACTCTATCGTTAAAGATTATATTAAAGACACATATTCTTCAAATACTTAAACAAAATAGACTTTTAAGTAAGAGCCATGCTTCGGCACGAATCGGCCGGCTCGTCCGGAGCGATACCACGGCTTCACAGAAAACCGACGTGAAGCAAAGCTTGCGTTGTGTTTCGTCCTGTGAGTGAGGTTACCGGAGGCCCAATTACCCTCTCCTTCCCCAATCTCCCCAATTCCTGAATCCCCAACGATCCTCAAACTCCTAATCCCCAGAAGGCCGGTAACGCACTTGTAACGCCTCTGTTGTTCAAGATGTCCATGGGCGACGCCGATTGCTTACAATCAGGTGATCCGTCTCCTCGTTTACCGGCTTATGCCATAAAAAAAGACAAACTCCAATTGTATCTACTTTCAATTGTATTAACTTCCTATGCATGTATACTTTATGAATGTACATGCGTAAACGTATTTGATTGCACAACCATGAATTCAAATGAAATACAGTCACATAAACATTTGATGTATATTTATCGCCCATGGTCTCGGTATTAAGATGCAATAAAACGTTCGTTCTCAAGCCCATTACAATATTAATACAATTTAATGCATCACGCACTTTTCGCTCAAAATATATAGATAGGTGCTATAACTTTTGGTCCCTGAAGGCGATGGTATTCTTATTATATTGCAAAACATGTTTTCCATCAGTTAAAAGTCCCTTGTGAGTAAACTTGTTTATACAGTTCAAACTCAATTTCAAATACAGTAACACTTATTTAATGGAATTATTTCTTTTTTTTATGGAACAGGAGGCAAACGAGCAGACATCGTCGCATCGTCTCCCGATGGTAAACGATCAGCGCCGCCCATTTTCTTGAAAGTTTTGAAGGCCGTATCGGTTCGGAAATACCGCCGACGACAGATCATTCCACAGTTTTGCTGTGCGAGGTAGTAAGCTACGTGAGAAGCGCACTGTTGTGGCCTGCAAACCATCTATATGGCAGGTATCAGGTCAAATAATTCCTCAGAGCATTCCAACAATTCTTTAATAAAATGATTAATTAACTCAGTAGTAGCACGGAGTCTGGAATCGTACCCGGTATATGACAATAGGCTCACCCCCTATTACATGAACTCATAACATAAATATTGAAAAGTGGGTCTTACATTGTACAGTGGCATAATGTACATCTCTACCTACCACTTTGGGGATGAAAGGCGTGATATTATGTGTATTTGTAACAATTAATAGATTATTTGACGCAACTACCGCCCAAATGCTGAAAGGCTACTCAATTTAAAGTTATACTTAAATATCATGCCATCTCTGTCATTTTACGAAGAATGTGTAGAGACAGAACTATACTAAAGCACGTCTTTAGTATTTGGACAAAAGACACACCAAATAGAATTGCTTAATTATGTTTAACAGTTCGCTTACGTAACTGTTTGACGAACTTTAAAGAACTCAATTAGTTTCAAGCCATGCTAGGGGCTCATATTGGCTTGAAATTAGTCGAGTTCCTATTCAAAGTCGTTAACATGATAATTAATTTAATACCTATATCTCACAAGATATACAAAAATTATACAAAAAAATACAATGACCATAATAAGATACCATATAATATGTAAATAAGAAAATACTATTTTTTTTGACATACGAATCTGTCATAGACCGCATGGTCAGCAGTAGTGCTTATAAGTAGATAGATACCAAGTCACGGCTACTACAATATTACTTTTTATAACTTCCATAATAAAATATGGAGTTGAAGTTGTAGGCGTATATTCCGTACAGAAAGTTTCCAAAAGTTATTGATAGACAAACTTTAGTAGATATAGAAGTTAGGGTCTAGATACGCTAGTTCAGTAATAGCGTCTTATTACTACTGTTCATCTTGGTATTTAGGTAAAGGTAAGTGAGATTCTAGAGTCAAAGTACTACACATGCTAATTTCAAGCACAAAAGATGCTTCAATTGAGCACTTATCACTTAGTGGCATGTGTGATGGAATTTTGCTGATTAGCATATTCATAAATAAGTGTAGGGGGAGCCATGCTTCGGCACGAATAGGCCAACTCGACCGGAGTGATACCACGGCCTCATAGAAAACCGACGTGAAGCAACGCTTGCGTCGTGTTTCGAGGTAAATGAGGTTACCGGAGGCTGCTATAAAAAAATAACTCATTTCGGGCATGCTTGCTGATAACAGGCGTTCGATTTTTAAATATTTTTGAATATTCTCAATAGCACGCCTTTTAGCATGAAATTTTAGAGTGTATGTAACAATACCTTTATCCTTAAAAGTACTTAAGGTACTAAAGGTTTAAAAGAGACAGACCTCTGAGTTTGTTTCGGCATTTCTTCTCAGAGTAGTCAGTTAGGAAATGTCGGCCTCATCGTTCCCTTGATAAAATTAACGTGTAAAAGTGCTGCCTTGTAGCCTATTTGCAGAAATAAATTCCATTGTTTCACTTGTTTCACTTGTTTACTGTTACATACTACTACTGTCAACGTTCTGTCATTTGACGACTGCATGTATGCTTCACAAACAATAGGCGACCTACAAATGACAATGCATCTTGCTTAGAAACAATTAAAACTATCAACGAAACGGCAATATTAAATTCGCCTATCGTTTTTTATTACTGTACTAGCTTCTGCCCGCGACTTTATATGCGCAATCCCGTTTTCTCCCATTTCCGTAGGATTTTCAGGATTTTTTTTCTTAAGAACCTCCTCCTGACAATAACAAACACAACAAAAAAAATTAACAAAATCGGTCTAGTCGTTCTAAAGTTATGGCGTGAAAACAGGAAAAGAGTTTCATTTTTATATACTAGGTTTTACCCGCGGCTTCGCTCGCGTCACAAAAGGATAAAAAGTAGCATCTGTGACATATGCCAATACACACAGCGCCATCTATACCAATACTTTTGTTTTCCCTCGGGAATATTAATTTTCCGGGATAAAAAGTATTATTGAATCCGGACTTCTAACTTTACGTCTGCAAAAATTCAAAGCACTCGGTTTAGTAGTTACGGCGTGAAAGATAGTCCTACAGTAATTCACCGAGGGAAGTGAAAACCATAGTTTTTTCTTCTTCTCCTCTTATAATATCTTCTGATTCACTTCGTTGCGGGAACCAAGACAGTTACTCATGTCCCTGGGACGCGCCGGACTTCAGTGTTCTGGTGTTTTCATGGTTGTATCTACTGTAGATCCTGGCTTACAGGAGTTGCAGCGGTTTTGGGAGGTTGTGGCGGGCTTGTCCCAATAAAAAAAAAAAAGTTACGGCGGCGTGAAAGCGGAACAAACAAACAAACTCACTTTCCGATTTATAATATTAGTAAGGATAGATGGCGCAACGTGGAGTCCGGTTTCAGTCTCTTAAACTCTAAACCTACCAGCTAAACGGATTCATCACCAACAGTAACTGGAAATTGAATTAATGAACAGAATTAAAATACCTGAAGCCCCACAGTGCTCTCAATACACAATTCGACAACCACTTCATTATCCCAATGTCCGGATAATGCCAGGAAATAATTACGTGTCGGCCAACTTTAATAACGATAACGCTGAGATAATAATTATCATTAACACCGTTGACAATTTAAATTATAATTCCTAGATGTCAACAATAATTGGAATTCAATTTATTATTTAATCCGGACTTCCAACTTTACGTCTGCAAAAATTCAAAGCAATCGGTTTAGTAGTTACGGCGTGAAAGCGGAACAAACAAACAAACTCACTTTCCGATTTATAATATTAGTAAGGATAGATGGCGCAACGTGGAGTCCGGTTTCAGTCTCTTAGAAAGGACGAAGTTGAAAAATTATATGATGATATTATCTTCACGTGGAGGACCCCCCCCCTCCCGTTGTCCAGCAGTGGACGTCTTACAGCTGTTGATTTTAATTATACAAAACTATAAAATTGAAAATATATCGCTATTGAAAAAACTTGGAACTTAAGTTACGTACGGCTATAAATAAGTATTAAAAATGATTCATAATATTCGTTTAACACAACATAATAAAACACACCTTTCAATAGGTTAAATAGAGATTGATACCAAATCATAATAGTAGGTTCATCCACGTTGGAGTGTATTATTATTAATCTCATTGTAATTGAAGATGTGCTTATTAGTAAATATAACATTCAATTGCAAACTCTATTATACTGAAGATTTTCACAACATTTAGTAAACATTTTCGACCATGGCTACGTATGTCTTAAGGTCAATTTTTCCGTGCACAGAGCAGAAGTAAAAGCTTCCAATCATTATTTCTTCATCGAAAATCCATAACAGATTATGTAATCGTAGCTCTATGTACTTCAAAATACCTTTACAAAAAATATTGTTCTTTAATAAAAAAAAGTCTTTCAAAATCTCTTTGATCATGTTTCCCCTTGAACTTACGATTTTCTTGAACATTGAAGAAGTATTATCCTCTGTTGTGTTACCCTTTATTTAACTTATCCGACCGAAACCTTTTCTACCTCTACTTTAAAGTACTGTTACACGCAGTGGCGTAACTACAGAGTGGCAAGTCGGGCCCCCTGCTAGAAGGGGCCCCGTTGA